TCTGTTTCTTCCGTCCTAGATCAAAGACTTGAGGGATCACAGGCTGGATAATCGCATGGAATCCTTCTTTTTGGCTGAAACAATCAAATACTTGTACCTGCTGTTTGACCCGGACAACTTCATCCACAACGATGGGTCCGACTTCGACGTGGTGGTTACGCCATATGGGGAGTGTGTCTTGAATGCTGGAGGATACATCTTCAACACAGAGGCTCATCCCATCGATCCTGCTGCCCTGCACTGCTGCAGGAAGCGCAAGGAAGAGCAGTGGGAGGTGGAAGACTTGATGCGGGAGTTCTACTCACTGAAGAAAACCAAGAAATTCACTTTGAGAAGACCCTCTGACCCCGGTGAAGGGGAGAGTGCAAAAGACCCTGAAGATGCAGAGAAAGCTGGAGAGAAGAGGAGAGAGAACTCTAAGAAGAGTTCACACTCCCTCTTGAGTTGCCCCAGCCAGTCTTTTAACTCCAAGCTTGCAGTACTGGGACAAGTTTTCCTAGATAACACCTGATCCCTTTTGCATCTTCAGTGTAAATTATTGAACTTGTTTCAGACTCTGGGAATATATTTTTATAGTTTCATAATGGAAACATGTTGTACCTCACAATGTGAAGTGTATTATGAAGTGAAACAGCTTCCCATTAAATTCTGCTACTGCTCCTTCATAAACCCTGGCTCAGATACCGCCTGTTAATGCTGTCCAGGGGCTCATCTCAAAGCAGTTCATTGCCTGAATAGCAAAGAGGTGTTCAGAAAGAAAACAAAATGTCTGCAGGTTAAAGGTGCCTTGTTTAGTGCATCTTGGGAGTTTGAAGTTTTCCAGGCTTACACAGAGTCCCCAGCTTACTTTGTTCTCTAAAAAGGAGCCTGAGTGGCTGCCTGTCATAAGGGAAAAGCAGGGATTACTGACTGTGGCTTCCCTTCTGAGCCTGCAGCTCTCTGTGTGCTCCATCTTTTATCTTTAGTCTCTTTGTAAACACGTGATTCACCTGAAAGATCACTGGCCAGTCTAGAGAACCTGTTGATTTTGAGGTGGAGGCTCAGATTTGGAGCTCTGGCAGGTCTGTTGAGCATGAAGGGTGGCATAGGGGAAAGCAGAGCACTTAGAACTGGGAAAGGTGCTCTTTTTAGAATCAGTTTGGTCAGTACCACCTGCCTGAAAAACAGCTGAGTGATTCTCCAGGTTGTCTGGACAGAAAACTGAGGTGGACGATGGACTAGCAAAGGTTTGATTGACTCTGCAGTGGAGCTTGCTTTCTTTTTACAGAACCTAACGTGCTTTTCTGGTGAAGTTTCCTCATTTTCCTTCCTCTTTTCAACTTCCCTTTGGGCTTCACCTTACTGCACGTCAGCCCCTCAGTCACTGAGGCTGAGCTGAGCTGAGCTGAGCTACCCGAGGCTGTTCTTGGTGTTCAGCTGACTTGGCAAATCCAAACCTTTAAGTGTGTTATCAGTGTCTTTGCAGCAGGTGTGTGTGATGGTCAGAAAGGGAGAAACCAGGAGTGTTACCAAAAGATTTTCTTTCTGAAGGAAAAACAAAAAGAGGGGGGCAGAAAAGTGATGGACTTTCTTCAAACCTGCTGGAATGTGAGGAGTCTGGAGCAAGCACACAATCTAGAGTCACTGGAGTGGGTTAGAGATACAGGATAAATAAATCCCTGTGGCCAGCAAGAGACTTAAATATAACTGGGCCAATGCCCAGTCTGTGCTCATGTTGGGTTGCTTTAAGAAACCATTTTTGTTTTGATCAATACTAGTACTGTAAAATTACATAAAATCTGCATTTTACCCTTCAGGGTAGAAATCCTTTTGCAGTTGTGAGTAAACTCATTGTAAGAGTCACCTGAAATGTTGGACAGGCATTTTGCTAGGATTGTTAACCTATGAAGGTTCTGCTTCTGTCCTGCCTTCCCATAGCAGGTGGGACAGCTGCTGTTCAGGAATTCTGCATGGATACAGCAATTGCAGGGGAGATACTGAGAGAGAAGCACCCTAAAACAGGCACTGTTGGGCAAAGATGGAGCTCTTGTTAGTGGCTCCGTGTTGTAACCCTAGGTTATCTTTTCCAGCTGCTCACATCTCACACACTATTCATTGTGTAATCTGTTGAAAACAAAACACAGGCCTTCTCCTATGGCTTTGCTAAGTGCTGGGTCCTCATTTTCTCTCAGAATTGCCCCACCCATGAAGCAGAGGAAAAGGAAGGACTTAAGAGGCCAGGCTGCAAATCTCCAGCTCAGTAAATCTCTTCTAACCAGGGCATTTTGGTGAGACTCCAGTAGCAGAACTAAGGGGAAGGAGCCTTAAGAGAGAAGATTTTTCCTCAGCACAGTTGGAGCTGAGAGAACTCCTCTGCCCACAGCTACTGTGAATCAGATGGATCTTGATTAGTGCTATGGGATGGGTGAGTCAGAATAACACAGGCCAGCCTTAATTTTGGTTTGTTCCATCTTAGCAAGACTTTCTTTTAAGCAAAAGAACTGATAGGAGCTCTTAGGATCTTTAGTAAGCGTTTTTTAAATGGAAAACTGGCTTGGCCTTGCTGCTGGAGGGCAGAGCGTGATGGAATCTCAGGGGCACGTGTACAAGTTGTGCTGTTTCACAGGCAGCGTGAGGAAGGGCAGATGTCTGGGAATCTCTAAGGGATAATGGGATGAAATAGCTGGCTGGCTGTCCCACTGGAGAACAGATTCAATTCCCTTTGTGTAGACCGTGCTGTCAGTGAGAACTTCACGGGTTCAGAATCACTGTCACAAGCTGGGAAAATAAAATAAGGCTAAAACTTGTGGTCTCCTGATGTCTCCTCCCAGGGGAGGAAGAGGGAGGAGATGGCAGGTCTATTTTGGCATTTTCCAGCTGGAGGGAGAGCTCCAGTGGAGCAATGTGGGGAGTGCTTTGGTCCTGTGAACGGAATTGTCAGGAATCCAAAATAGGATGTGTGTGGCAATTTTGGGTGGCTTCCAAATGAGGCAGGTCACCACTCCAAAGGTTCCACCTACGGAGTAAACTCGTGGCATCTGTCAAGAGGCTGGAACTGGATTTGGGTTAAGTGGTGAAAGATAGTGCAGAAACCAAATTTAGCACTTGCTGTTGATGATATCATTGTAATTGTGTCGATTTTTTTTTTTCTCCACTCCAAGCAGCCTGCAAAGCCCAAAACTGAAGGCCAGATTTTCTGAGGTATTTCAGAAGTAATTGTTTGGATTTGGAGAGAAAGTGGATTGATGGAAAGTCAGACAAACAGCTTGTGAAAGACTGCTTCAAAGGAGAAGGAAGAGGAAAAAGAGTCAGAGTTGCACATGAATTGCTGGCAAATGGCAAAAAAACCCCCAAAACAAATCAAACATACCAAAATTCAAGGGAGAGGGTGCAGGGGGAGCACTAGGAAAGGGGATGAGTGGCAAGTGAGGGAGAATCTATGAAGTTTAACACCTGGCCCTGCACAGACACCCCAACAATCCCACCCTGTCCCTCAGAGCGTTGTCCAAACCCTCCTGCAGCTCTGGCAGCCTTGGGGCTGTGCCCACTGCCCTGGGGAGCCTGTTCAGTGCCCACCACCCTCTGGGGGAAGAACCTTTCCCTGAGATCCACCCTGACCCTGCCCTGACACAGCTTCTTGAGTCCCTTGGAGCTGCTGCCTGGGCGTTAGTCCAGAACTAGCCCCAAGAGTCCATCTTCCCAAGGTGCTCCCTCTCCTTTGACCTGTTGGGTTGGAAATAAAGGCATGTTGGTGGAAATAAAAAGGTTGTATAGTGCAAATAGAGGTACCTTAATGGAAGTAAAGACATTTTAGGGAGAATTAAGGTATTTCAGTGGGAATGAAGGCATTTTAGTGGGGAGAAAAAGGCATTTTAGTGGGAATAAAGGTATTTTATTGGGAAGAAAATTATCTTAGAGCAAATAAAGACATTTTAGAGGGAACGAAGGTATCTTCGTGGGAATAAAGGCATTTTAGTGGGAATAAAAATATTTTGGTGTGAATAAAGGTGTCAGTGCAAATAGAGGCATTTTAGTGGGAATAAAGATATTTTAGGGGGAGTAAAGATATTTTAGTGGGAATAAAGTTATCTTAGGGGGTAAAGGTATCTTAGTGGAAATAAAGGCATTTTAGTGGGAATAAAGTATCTTAGTGGGCAGAAAGGTGTGTCTTAGTGGAAATAAATGCATTTTAGTGGGAATAAGATATTTTAGTGGGAATAAGATATTTTAGTGAGAATAAAGGCATGTTAGTTGTAATAGAAGGGTTAACTTTGTTCATAAAATCTTATGTGTATGAGGGAATAAGGAACTTTTGTTATAATTCAACAAGATCAGTTTCATGGACATCTTGCTAATCAAGCAAGTATCAGTAAAAATAATTGCAGACATCTTGCTAAACAAACAAGTATCAGTACTAGTAAAATTTACAGCTGATAAGAACTGCAGCTTTTATCTCTGACAAATCCCAGATGACCACTCAGCAGCAAGCCACGAACTCAAGCCATAAAACAATTGCATTCAAAACCCGGGACTTGGAAATGTATAAAAAGGAACATTTACTACATTTTGGTGTGTGCCTCAGCAGGGCGCTTGCCCTCCAGGCCACCCAGCGCTGTTTTGCTTTATTATTGCTTGCTTAATAAATTTATGAATGTTAAATTGGAATTGAGTTGTCTAAATTCTTACAGTAACTTATAACATTAGTGAGGGGAAAAATATATTTTAGTGAGAAGGCATGTTGAGGGGGGAAGGTATTTTAGCGGGAATAAAGTTATCTTGGGGGGGGATAAAAGGCATCTCAGTGGGAATAAAGGCGTTTTGGCAGAAATGAAGGCGTTTTATGGGGAATAAAGGCACTGTAATGGCAGCGCAGGGAGCGTGCAGGGAGCGGCAGAGGCCGCGGCCCAGGCCCCGCCATGTCCGCTCCCCAGGCGGGACTCCATTTCCCGGCATGCCCCCCGCGGCCGCCCGTTCCACACCCCCCCGGGGGGGCCGAGGCGGCGCTTGTTGTTTGTCTCGGATCGGCTCCCAGCCGGGCCATGGCGGCCATCGCGAGGGGCGGCCCCGGCGCCCGCGGGGCCCGAGCCGCCACCACCACCAACATCGTGTCGCAGCTGCGGCGCGGGCAGCTCAGCGGCCGCGGGCTCACCCGCGGGGCGCAGGTAGGGGCGGCCTTGGCGGGGGAGCAGGGGGACACACGGGGGGGTGTGCGGGGCCCGGGGGTGTGCGGGGTGCGGGGCTGGGGGTGCGGCAGCTCCCGGCCGAGCACGGCGCTCTCGGCGCTCTGCGGGGCCTGGCGGGGCCCGCCTGGGGGGTGCCGGGGGCTCCCCGGAGCCCTCCCGGCCTCGGCGCGGGGCTGGAGGGGCGTCCCTGCCTTCCTCCTCCGTCCTCCCAGCCTCGCAGCTCGGGCGTTCTCCGGGCTGTTAAAAGAGCCGTTCCCGGCCCCCGCTCTGCTCCTCTGCCGGAACAATGCGGCGTGGAAATTTGGGTGTATTTCCTGCACAAAGGCGACCTCGTGGTGTTGGGGTTCAGGAAAAAAAAAAAAAAAAAACCCAAAAAACACAACGAAAAACCCTTTCGGCCCCGTGGTGCTCGTGGTCTTTCCTGCCCCGGGTCTGGGTTCCGTATTTGTCGCCTTTCCCAGCTGATAATGCTGGGAAATGGGATCGGCTCCTCAGCCCAGGCCTGTGCCTGCCCCGTGCTGATGCTGGGTCTTTTTTTATTTTATTTTTTTTTATTATTATTTGAGAAGCTGCTCACGGATAATGGACTATTAATTTCTTCCCTTTTTTCTTCTTCCTTTTTTTTTTTTTTGGGAAGCTGCTCACGCATAATGGACTATTAATTTCTTCTTTTAATGGAGAATAATTGTCGTTTATTTTCGCAGATTAAATGCGAAATGGCGCGAAGGCTTGGAAGCCGAAATGTGGGATAAAGAACTTGCATTTGGGTGGTGATTTGTTGAGCTAAACTGTTGTGGCCATAAAACCTCTACTGTATAGCTTACTAGATTAAAAGAGTTCAAATGGAATAAAAATTGGGACACCTTTAAATTTATTTACTAGTGCAGACAACAGTATTTTCTTTGATTAGCAAGGATTCTGAGGAATTACTGAGGGGAGGTTTGTTCATCGTGAATGTGCCTCGTTCTGTAGCAGGGATGGGTAAAAGAGCAGGAGGTGATTTCTTACAGCTCTTTTGTCCTTATCGTGCTGCTTGCTCAGCTACTAGTTTGGTTAATCCTTGAGAAAAAGTAAATAATTTGCATGAATATAAACGTGTATTGACTCTTTTGAAGGAAGTTATCTCCGTGGGACTGTTGTAGGAGTGGATTTCATACAGCACTTGGACGGATATTGTCTCCCTGACTTACCTGTCCGCTTCTGTGCTCTTTATTTCATGTTCTGCTCTTTCAGTCAGATAAACCTGTACCAAGCCTGTGCACTTGTGGATGTGTAGCATGGTGCCTCCAATCTGGGCTTTGGTTTGCCTGAGAAATTCAGTGCTGCTGTTTTAACTTGGGGCTTTTATGAATTTGCTGAAGCAAAAACTAAGCTTTTACAGTAATCAAGGAACAAGGAAACTTCTGCTATTTGCATCTTCCTCCTCGAAATGCCCGAGTTTGGGGTGGGTTTTTGGTTGCTGGGGTTTTGTTTTGTTTTACTTGAAAAATTTTGGCATCCCTGTACTGCCTTGAAAGACTTAAAGCTGGGATACACAGAGCTCCCAGCACTTCATAAATGCTGTAGGAAGACACTTTTAAATCACTTTTTATAATGGCAGTGGGGTGACAGGACTAAGGGGGTTGGATTCACGCTGATGGAGAGTAGGTTTAGGTTAGATATTAGGAAAAAAACTCCTCCCTGGGAGGGTGGGGAGGCCCTGGCACAGGTTGCCCAGAGAGGCTGTGGCTGCCCCATCCCTGCAAGTGTCCAAGGCCAGGTTGGATGGGGTTTGGAGCACCCTGGGCTAGTGGAAGGTGTCCCTGCCCGTGGCAGGGGTGGAACAAGATGGTCTTTAATATCCCTTCCAACCCAAACCATTTTATGATTCACTTTTAGAGTAAGAGAGGGGAAATAACAACTCCCTGAGTGATTTTGGACTTTATAAATTACGTGTCTCTGTACTTTTACCTTGAAGCATTTTTTTTTGTTTGTAGACGATCTAAATATAAAACACTTTGATGTAGCTTTTAAAGAAGCACGAGGCAGTTTTGGGTGCTTTCCTTTTCTTTTTTTTTTTTTTTAAGTTCTATTTTTTAACAGAATGTTCCCAGTTTTCCTGCAGTTCACTCCTCAGTGGCAGTGTGGGAGCCCTTTCTCAACTCCTTTTCTTCTGAAAAGCCTGAGAGCAGATTGAATTTCCAGGTTGCTCTGTTGGGGTCTAGAGCAAGTCAGGGGAATGTCCTTGGAGCTCTTTTTTCCTGTCCTCTGGAAAGAAGTTTTGGGTCATGTGCTGCCTGAACTGCACTGTTGGTATCCTGTGAGGAAGGTAAACCCTTCTCAAGATATTAATTCAGGGAGATTGTGGAATACTCTTCCTTGCTGTGGTGCCTGCCATGGGCAGCAGAGGCATTTATCCTTAAACAAAGCTTTGTGTACTATTTTTAGATGATCTCAAGATCCATTTTTGTATAGGGAAAGTAGGGGCTTATCTGTGAACTGGGAAGGATCACTGTTGACAGGCCTACATCTGAAAGTTCATCCCTCTGATCTTACAGGGACATCAAAACATTTTTGACAGCAGCAGCCCCCTGAATATCTGGCAGTTTTGAGGTCAGCTGAGGCTCTGAAATCTGGATCCCTGGGTGTTCTTGCTGTGCTCACCTACCAGGAGCCACAGCTCTCTTGCCAGTTGGTCTCTTCCTTTACTATTAATAATAAATTATTAAGAGAGGGGGAACAAAGTTGGGGAAGGGTCTAGAGAGTCATATGAGGAGGGGCTGAGGGAGCTGGGGGGCCTTAGCCTGGAGAAAAGGAGGCTCAGGGGCGACCTTCTTGCTCTCTGCAACTCCCTGATGGGAGAGGGGAGCTGTGGGGGGTCGGGATCTGCTCCCAGGGAACAAGGAACAGGACAAGAGGAAATGGCCTCAAGTTGTGTCAGAAGAGGTTCAGGTTGAATATCAGGAACAATTTCTTCACTGAAAGGGTGTTCAGGCATTGGCAGGGTCTGCCCAGGGAGGTGGTGGAGTCCCCATCCCTGCAGGTGTCCCAGGAATGACTGGACGTGGCAGTGCTCCGGGCTGGGGGACAAGGTGGGGGTCGGGCACAGGCTGGACTTGGAGGTCTTTTCCAACCTAAATGATTCTGTGATAATAAGGTTGATGGGTAAATCAGATTTCAGTGTATATTGCCATTATCTGTTCCTGTATCCATTTTATCCATATTTCGGGCATCAGCTGGTGCCCAGGACACAGGTTGGTATCAGATTGCTTAACCTTGGGCCGGGGTTTGCCCTGCACTGACCCCAGAGCCAGTGGAAGGGGCTTTGCAGGAGCTGGTGAATCAACTTTCCAGAAGTGTCACACATTCTCTAAAAAGGAGGAGTCCTGGTTGTGAGTGGGCTGGTGTGTTGTCCCTCTCTGGACACAGCTGTGCCGTGTGTCACAGGCACAGGGAACAAGCTCTAATGGGGCTTGTGCTGCTGTTCCTTGAAGGCAAAATAACACTTTGGGTCAGCTGATGGAGCTCAAATCCCCTTAGCAAGAGGGCACACACTTCATCTGCTGCAAGCCAGCTGTGAAAAACATGGATACAGCATGAAACCAGAAGATATTTAGGTGCAGCTATGGGAATCCCTGTAGACAGAGCAGTGTAATAATGGACTAACCAGGGATTTGTTGGCAAACCAGCATGCTCCTGGTGCAGTCCCAAGAGCTGATTGTCAGCACTGCTCTCACCCTCACAGGATTGCCAAGGCTTAGCTGAAACAATCAGAATGGAAAAAACAAGCCTCTTTTTCCAGCTGTAATTCATGCCCTGCTATCCCTAGGAATAGACACTTCCTTTCGCAGGGTAGTCCCTATCCACTCAGGAAAAAAAATCTCTCTGCAAGGAAAACATTTTCTGCCTCAGACACCCAGATTTCCAGCTCCTACCCTTGCAGGTTTTCAACAGGCTGAAGTAGCTTCCTAAGTCTGAGAAAAATATTTTGTTTTCTAATCAGTTTTTTGTTTCCTCCTTAAAACAGCACCGCCAAAACAACATTCACGTGAATATAATCCACTTGAGTAGCTCTAATTGTGTGGGTCTTAGCAAGCTTAGGCCTCTTCAGGAGAGGACAGCGAGGGAGTGTTAGAAAGCCTAGAAATGCTTTTATTATGTAACAGGCCCCAGAGCTCTGTCATGCACTGGAAGTGCTCAAAAAGTGGTTGTATTGGACTTGAATAGTCTATTTTTTTGTGTGGCTGAAGATGAGTGGGAAGAGGAGTGTTACAGCTGTGATATTTCGTGTTTCTGTGCTTTTTCCTTAGATATATCCCTGCAGGTTTTGTTTTCTTTCAAAATGAATTAAAGAAGAAACCTAGGCAGTTCCAAGGAAAAGTATTCAGTGAGAAGTTAATATGATTTTACTTATTAGTTGATCTGTTTCTCTCTGAGAGTAAGATGATCAAAGCAAACACTAATAGCTCTGGTAGATCCTGTAGTGGTTTTGGAGAGCTGTTGGTGTCAGAGGTCCATGTTGGAGTTGTCCTGCTCTTGGAAATGTGGGGATTTGGGAATCTCAGGACCTGTTCTTGACTTGGTAGACCAGCTCTTCTTCCAGTCCTGGTGAGTAGAGCTGTAGTTGGGATCATTGGGAGGGTTAGGCCTGCCTGGAAGCTGTGGCAGGTTTTATCCTAGGACAGTGTGTCCCTGGATTCATACCTGGCTTCTGGGATGGCAGGAGAAGGGAGAGGGGCTGGGGAGGATGGAGAAACAGTAGGTACAGGAAACTTGATCTGCACTTGAAGAATCAAGGAGCTGGAGAGAGGCTGGACATAAGTGCTCTTAAATGGACTTCTCCTGGCTTAATATCAGTGGAGGAGTTTCTTTTTATGAATTATGTCTGGGGGGCTCTGACATGGTTCTTGATCAGAGCTCAGTGGTGGCTGACCACGGTGTTCTGCCCCAGAGCTGCAGGCCCACAGCTTCTCCCTTGGAATTCTTTCCAGAATCACTCCATAGGTCAGCAGTTGTGTTCCTGCAGTGAAGGAAAACTTGGGAGGAGGTCACTTACCTTGGTTACAGCCTGTTGTGTGAGGAAGGAGTCAGCTTAGCCAGGCTGATGGATGGTTGTTAGCAACTGGAAAGGAAAATGTAATAATGAGCTGGGATGATGGGGCACTCCCCAAAATCTTGAATAATCATTCTCCTGGCAGCCTGTCAGAGATGACTTCCTAAGTTATTAATGTTCTGAGGAAAATTAAATATTTAATTGCACAAATATTGGTTTCCTGTTTTTAAAGGTACAGCCTGAAAGGCTTGAAGGAAAGGATCTGGAAAAGCTTCAATTTTATTAAAAATACATAGAGACAATATGCTTGCATCTGTTTTTCAAGATCCATAATCTTGAGCCTCTTTGCTTTGAAACTTTGAGGACATTTAAATACGTGCTTTAGAAGTGGTCATGGAAAATACCAAGAATGAAAACTCTGCTTTTTTAAAAGCACTTCCAACCTTAATGTATGGTTGCAATGCAAAATGGAATTAAAAGAAACTCACAACTGATGTGTCATAGCTGTGAAGTCTGTCACAGCACGAATCCTTTAGAGCTGCAAAGATGCCTGGACACCTGAGTCACTGCTTTTTGCTTTTCGAAAGATGACAGCAAATGCCCTCCTGGAGTGAGTGCTCAGCTAGACAGTGAAATGTTTGAAGGGTAAAATGTGAAATAGAGACAGAATTTTATCAGGGAACTGTTCTCCCTGCTCTGGAGAGCGAAGGGGAGGATGAGCTCCTGGTGTTTCTCCTGCCGTCACCTGCTCTGGGAAGACCACAGCTCAGCAAAGGGGAGGAAAAGGTTTGGAAAATCAGGGGTTTACTTTCTTGGGAGATGAGAATGCAGGAACACGGATAATAAGGAAAATCCTCACTGGAAGGGGAAGGGACTTGGAAGCAGTTGTAGCTGCAAGAAGTCTCAGGGCAGTAACAAATGTTTGGGCAGGGGAAGGGACACAGAGCAGGGAGGAGCTGCTGCTGGAGAGGCTGTGCCTGGAGAATGAGCAGAGGGGAGAAATGGAAGGGAAACTAAACTGATCAAGGGGTGGATTTGGGTAAAAACATAAAACTTCATGGAGATTCAGGTATTATTCGTAATTATTTACTGACCATCTTGCAAATGGCTGCTGTCAGGGGAGTGTTAGGTGGGATATTAGAAAAAGGTTCTTCCCCCAGAGGGTGGTTGGCACTGAACAGGCTCCCCAGGGCAGTGGGCACAGCCCCAAGGCTGCCAGAGCTCCAGGAGGATTTGGACAACGCTCTGAGGGACAGGGTGGGATTGTTGTGGTGTCTGTGCAGGGCCAGGAGTTGGACTGGATGGTCCTTGTGGGTCCCTTCCAGCTCAGGACATTCTGTGAATCTGTTCTATGATTTTGTGATCTTTAAAAGGATTTAAAAGACAGGAGGATTAGAAAGAAATTTCAAGAAATATTTAGACTTGAGTGCAGCCTTTGTTTAGCTCTTTCTATACTTCCAAGAAAAATTATGCATAAAAGTTATTTTAAACTGTGTAGTAGTATCAGTAATTTCCTTGGAAATCCTGGGCCCAGTTCTTTAGGAGCCTTTAAAAAGAAAACCCCTTAGTCTGCTCTACCTTGCAGTCATGGATGAGCTTGAGGACACACTTTTAACTCTGTACTTAAATCCTCTGGAAAGCCTCTGATTGTCCTTCCAGCAAATCCACACTGCCACGGCTTTGTGGCATAGCTGGAGTGGGGGAGATGGATGGATGGATGGATGGATGGATGGATGGATGGATGGATGGATGGATGATCCTGGGGAGGTGGTGATACCTGGCTGGGAACAGGATCCAGGAAACCACGGGTGTGGATACCATTTCCACCTGGGCTGCTGCAGCCTCCCCTTTCCTGGGTAATACCCAACTTCTCAAGCTCTGTGTGCAAGATTTCAGGTATTTTATCCAGAATTTTTCAGTGAATGAACAAAATCTCTGAGAAATCAGTGTTGGGTTGCACTTACCCTTCTTGGATGACACCAAAAATTTTTACAGAGGAAAGGAACCCATTTTACTGATGACTATTCAGTAAAATTTGCCCAGGAAGAGCCAAGAAGAAAACCACCTTTGTCTATAAATGAAAACCATTGACTGGCTGTGGGTACAGAAATGGAGAGATGCAGCTTTTAACCAAATTGGCTGTAAAGAAGGACAGCTCCATACAGTCAGATTGAATTTTAATCCCTTCAGAGAATCCAAAATCTTTGCGTTGGCAAATCCTGCCTGGCCACAATGGAAATATCCCGAGCCAGGGCAGCCTCATAAACACAGAAGAGGGACCACAAGCCAGAGCTTGCCATGAAACCAAAGACATGTTAAATCAAGAGAAAGAAAAACTGCCTTTTTTTTTTTTTTTTCTTTTGAAAGCAGTTAAAAGATGATGAGAGCAAGGAAACATTTGCTTCACTCCTTCAGAATTTCAGCTCTAAAAGATTTTCCTGTGGCTGCCTCTGGGAGCCCAGGACAGGGAGTACAAAAATGGGAGTGGGGATGGATCCTACCCCAAACCAAGAGTGTATGTGAGATTAACAAAGTGGTGTTAAGCCCAGGACAAGATTTTAATGTCAATTAAGGGCTCTTGGCCTTTCCAGAGAGCAGCTGGATACTGAATTCTGCTGCTGGAACCTGAGCTGCAGCCCAAGCACGTCACCTCTGCCTGGGGTATCTTCCCATCAGCTGGAGCCAGAGCTGGACTCTTTCCCTGGCATTTTGCTGTGTGTTCTTTGCACTTTACCCAGTCATTAATCCAGTTCCTCCACCGCCCCTGGGGTTGTGTGCTCCTCCCACACCTGGGATGGGGTTGTGGAGAGCTCCTTTGGCTCCCTCTGTGCCGGGAATCACAAGGAGAAATGGGAGTCTGTGTCTTCAGGAGGAGCTGAGCTGGAGTCCAAATGAAAAGAAGCCATTGTGACATTCTGGTTTTGCCCTTTGTTATTTCTCCTCCTCAGAAGGAAACTCTGTGTCATTCTCCAGCAGTGCTGGTTGATTACTCTGTTGCAGAAGTCAGAAAGCAGGGAGAAGGTAAAAATGTTTTTGACTTCATGTCCCAGGTCTGCTCATGCTGCTTCAGTCACCCCTTGTAGCAAGAAAACTTGATACTTCATACCTGAACTGATACTTCAAGAGCCTGGAAGTTCTTAGTTACCCACAAATTTAGGTCTTCTATCAGGAAAAGACCCCTAAGTATCTGGGAAGCTTGGAAGGATGAGGACCCACAGCAGCTACATTGCCAGGCTGAATTTTCATGGGCTTGCATCAGTTTTCTGGTCTTCTTGTATAACAAGCAGAGAAAAGGGTTAAATTCTCAGTCAGAAATTGGGGTATATTTGCATATAATTGTCTAATCAGGACTTGAATGGCCCTTTGGAATTGCACACTGAGGTGTATCTGAGAAGGATGTCTTGGCTGAAACAATGAGTGAGATTTCCTGGCTGTTAATTATTAACAAGGAACACTTAAGCAGGAGGGAGGGAAACTCATTTAACCCCGGGAAGGGTCAGAATGAGAACAGCTTAGAGGTTTAGACCTAGGAGTAAGAGCAGATGCACGCATGTGTCAGGGCAGAGTTAGGTTGGATGCTGAGAAAAGGTTCTTCCCCAGAGGGTGGTTGGCACTGAACAGGCTCCCCAGGGCAGTGGGCACGGCCCCAAGGCTGCCAGAGCTCCAGGAGGGTTTGGACAACGCTCTGAGGGACAGGGTGGGATTGTTGGGGTGTCTGTGCAGGGCCAGGGGTTGGACTGGATGGTCCTTGTGGGTCCCTTCCAAGTCAGGATTATCTGTGTTCTAAATGTTGCCTTGAAATCCTGCTGGCTGTAATTACTGTCTGCTTTACCTTTCTGTACATGAATAGTTCCCTTTTTGGGGGTTGGTGTAGGTACTTCTGAAATATCATAAAGAGAGGGAGTTAAGTTTTGGTCAGCATTGACTGGATGGTGAATTTTCCCAAAGAGGTCCTTCTCTACAGCTTCTGCTGGTGTTAACCTGGAAGTGTTCGGGCTTCAAAACATCTTTCGTGGATTCTAAGCAGAATATTTTAGTCTTGTGCTGCTTCTTCATTTCTTTTTTCAGGTGTAAAATACAGTGGTGATTATTGAGAATTTTTTTTTAATCTTTTGGTGAGAAGGACAAACTTGAAGATAGTTTGGACAAGCGTAATAGCAAATGCCAAAGTGTTCTTTATTTGTGGCTGCAGCCTCTTTCTCAGCCAACGTTGCTGTTTTACTGATTTAGTTGGTGGCCTCCATTTATAACAGAAGGGAATTTCCTCTGTATCTTTGATGTGTTCTTCTGGAGGTTGCTTGTCAGTCTTCATGGTTTGGGTCAGTGCTGTGACCAATAATGGCTTCAGGGACTTGGCTGAGGAAATACTCATTTCAAGTAGTGAAGCCTTTCCAGCTAATGTGTTCTACACCTTAGAATAATTTAATTTGGGATAGTGGCAAGGGCACCCAGTTCCTCCCTCACTGACCTGTCAATTGGAGTGCTGCTAATGGGATTATTTAGAGACTAGTGTGTTCCATTTTAACATACATGATCAATATAAAAATACAGGATGAGATGAAGTGCTCTAAATGACAAAATCTGCTTGAAGCCCTGCCCTGCTTCAGATACTGTGAAATTCTGCAGCTCCCAGTCCTGGATAAACTGCTTCATGGAAAGAGGTGCTGGATTTTGTAGTGGTACTCTCTACAGGAAGCTATTTTTCCATGATATTCTGTTGCTGATATGGAGGAGGTGATAAGGTTATTTTCCTGCTTATGAAGCATTGGACACATGGGAATTATGTTGTTCCTTCCTTGCAGATCACAGAGGCCTTGTTAAAGGAAAGAGATAAGCAAGCAAAGTGGAATGGGATTCCCTTGCTGTTGCAGAAGCTGTATGAGCACAGCCACCCAAACAGCGACTTCTCCCAGTGCCAAAGCATCCTAAAGGTACTGCCTGCACTGTCCTTCTTACAGCCAGGCATGATTTTGCCTAATATCATAATTCTAACTAATTTTTGAAGCTGTTTGCATGATAATATCTCTGAAAATGGGCTGGTAGGTAAGAGCTGGGAATGCATGTAGTGATTAGTCAGCGGGTCACACAAATCGTGGGAGGTGATTGTGTTTATGCTCATGAGCAGTTTTCTTCTTGAACCATCTCTTGATTTTTTTTTTTAATTTTTTAATTTTTTTCTTTACTCCATGCAGGAAATTTCTCCCCTTCTTTCAATGGAAGCCATGGCATATGTTACAGAGGACAGAAAAGCTGCTCAAGAGTCCACTTTCCCAAATACGTACACGTTCGACTTATTCGGAGGAGTCGATGTGAGTGTGTTTTTTCAACAATATCAAAACATTTCCTCATGACAATCATGCCCCTGAGAAATCCCTTCGGTGAGGTCTCTGAGACCTTTGAAGCTCCTAAATGCAAGCTACAGAATGAGTTTACCACGTTGATGTTGACCCTTGGAGTTGTGCCTGTTTCTATTAATCCAAATACTAAGGGGGGGTGTTTTTCAAGGTATCACATAAAAAAGTGGGCTTTCTCTTATATGATAAACAGCCAGAAAACCTGGATATTTCTTCACTCAGTCTGTTTTTTAACTTACAAAGGTGAGGTCTTTAGTTCTCAGTGAAAACAGTTTCAGACGATTCCTTATTGTGAGATGAAATGCTACAGTTGGAACCAGAGCAGTGAGAATTTCACTTACCACTGAGGGATGTGTGGCAGTTTTTTAGGACGCTCTTAGCCACGTTGTCTGTGTTTATTGCTTCATCTATGGAAAAGTGGGGTTTTTTTAAAGAACTGTAAGTTTTCTGTTGAGGTTCTGGCAATTTATCCTTTTGTTTATTTGTTTTAATTCCATGTTACAGAAATACCCCTTTGTTCAGTGTTACAGTGACCCACTCTGGGATCTTGGCTTCCATCAGAAATGCATGATTTATATTTTCTGATGAACTAATTGTCACTCTCTGCCTTTTTCTTCCCTTTTTTTAATTATCTAATTAAGCAGTTTTTGCTGCTGCTTTCTTGTTACACTTAGCATGCCTTTACTTAAGTAAAACTGGTATTTGTGCTGGTTTGAAAGGAGCAGTGGTTTAGTTGCCTGTGTGCTGTCAGTTGAGGACAAAAGTCTTCAGCTACCCAAGCAATTTAGAACACTTCCTGAAAATGTTCTAAATTTCCCTTTTGATTTTAAAGGAAAATAGTGATACTTCCTGTAGGAATGATTTTAACAATAATGCACAGAATCTGTGTGTGTTGGGGGTGAGTTGGTTTTTTTTTTTGCTGATTGGGGTTTGGTTGGTTTTTTTTCCCCTTGGGCTGGAGATGGCAAATATCAGATATGCTGTAATTACCTGGTGCTGTGGCCAGAGATTTGGCTGATACAGGTGGGTTTAATGTGGTTAAAGGCAGTGGTAGAATCCAGTGCTGTGATTTTTTTTTTTTTTTTTTCCAAAAATCCTGCTCTGTGGCTTGAAGGGGAATCAATCTGACCTGCTGGTGCTGATTGTTTTGCAATATTTTGGACTGTGAACCATGAGTAACTCTGAAGGACCCTCAATTTGCAGTGTATTCTCTAAGCTATAATGGTAGTATATTCTTTATAATATTTTTGGATTCTGACAGTCTTTACATCAAGGAAGAACAAAACCACGTTGTCCTCCCTTTATATGAATCCATGTAAAATATGACCTGAGGGTGCAAACACATGAACTGATGAAGCCTCTTGGATTTTATACCTGAATGCACCCCCATTCCAAGCAATAAGATCTCATAATTCCCTTTCCATGCCTTCTACCACACGACATTAAAGCATAAAAAACATAAACCCCAAACCTTGAGCTGTGAATTCTCCTCCTAAAACAGGAGCCATTCATATGAGCTCTGCATTGCTGCTGCAGTCATTTTTCTCTACTCTGTTGATGCTACAATTACTATTACAAATATTGCTGGAAAATGTATGTTCCTATTTATTTATTTGTCAGTGCTTAAAATGTGGCCTCCAGGTGGTTTCCTCTGTGTCTGGGTGGGTAGTTCATTAAAAGAAGGGCAAAGTTAAGCTTGGACTAAGAGGGCAAGTAGTAAATTTTAAAGTTTATTGATCGGGTGGGTGGTGCCTACATTGCTGTTGATAATTTTTAACTGAATTTTAAAACTAGGGGCATTTTGCAGTACTGGGAGGAGTTATCAGTTGCTTCTAGTGGTTATCTCTCATTTTTAAATAAATACTTATTTTTCAAAATGTTTTAAGACAAATCAATGGTATAGACTGGAGCAACTAAAGATCAGTTCTGCATTTAACAGGACCACAGTCCTAGTCTTGGAAAACTGATTGTTACATTCCTTAAATAGAAATGAGGCAACATCTGTAAGTATATAATAAGTATAGATCAAGGTGATGAACACCAGCAGTGGCTTTTTCTTGGTGAGATTAAAATCTGGAGCAACCAAATTCTGTTGTGTCTAGACCTGAAATACCTTTGAAGGCCAGAAAGATTTAGGGAAAGCCTTTGCAAAATTTGCATTTCTCTGCAGATTATTGCTAAAGATTCCCTGTTTTGGGAGATGTGTGGTAGCCATTCCTGATTTTATCTGGAGGCATGTGAAGGCACATTCCTTGCAGGCTCAAATTCTTTCAGACTTGCCAGTGGGAGATTATTTTATACAACCATTACTGTTTCTTCAGGGTAAATGCAACTATTTTTTATCAGTGTGATTTTGACACCAGTGGAGTTTTGATTGTAGAGCCTCCATAATTCACCTCTGTGACTTCAGCAGAGACAGGTCCATGTTTGACTTTTGTCACTGACAAATTAATTGGTATTTGTATCTAAATGATCATTCCTTTAATTCTTTATCTTATCTTTACAGCTTTTGGTAGAAATTCTCATGAGACCAACTCTTATTACCCAGAAAAAGAAGCAGAAAAGTAAGTAAATAGCATGTTTTATCTCTTCCTCCCCCCCCTAATTTTTCCTTGTGTTCTTATTCAGACAGAAATTGTTCTGTTTTTCTGTTATTCTCTTTCCATACCAGCAATTTCCTGTTGATTCATTTAGGAATGAATCACTGGGCTCTTTGTTCTCCGTGGTACTGATTCGTGCTGGGATTTGGGATAGTCACCTGTTGGGATAGTCACACAGCTCCAGAGGGTTCATACACTCAGCACAACATCCCTCACTCAAAGGACTAAATCTGCAATCCGTGGAAACTCTTATTGCTACTGTGGCTACAGCTACAGTGAGCAATTTTTAATAATAAGCCACAAAACATTGTTTATGTAATAGGAGCTACAGAGATTGTGAGATAAAAAATGTGCTGTTCTCCTGACTCATTTCCACATTGCTGTGAGGAGAACTTTGCCAGGGGGTGCAGTGGCTTCAGCACAACTTTCCTGCTGGAGCAGCTTTGCTTTAGTGTTTTCATTTCCCCTGTTTGTGACTCTGCAGGTTCCCTGAGCCCTTGTGAGGAGAGGGACTGTCCTGGTGCACTCTGTGCCCTTCAGCCAGGGAACTTCAAAGGTGAAGTGGCTTAAACTTGAGCTAGAGTCAGCTGTTGTAGGGCTGTACTGAAAACATATTTTAAATATTAAAATGTGCAGTGAATCAGATGGTAAGCTGTTCTTATAAAGTCCAGGTGCTGTGTGGAGAAAACTGCATGAACTGTCATTTTTTTCCCCCCCATATTAAATAATTTAACATGTGAACAGGTCAGGTAAAGACTTACAGAGTTGTAGAATGGTTTGGGTTGACAGGGACCTTAAAGATCATCCAGTTCCACCCCCTGCCACGAGCTGGGATACCTTCCACTAGCCCAGGTTGCTCCAAGCCCCCATCCAACCTGACCTTGGACACTTCCAGGGATGGGGCAGCCACAGCTTCTCTGGGCAACCTGTGCCAGGGCCTCCCCACCCTCACAGGGAAGGATTTCTCCCCAATATCCCATCTAACCCTGGCGGTTTGAGTGCTTCTTCCAAGGCATTTGCACAAGTGATGTGAGATAGCAGCCTGAAATTCTCCATTTTATACCTTTCTGTGGCACTCCTTGGCATTGGTGCCCCTTGGCAGCCTCAGGCTGGTGACTGACTGTTCTCTCCTTTGCAGTAAGTGATGACCTCATCAAGGACTGTCTCAGCATACTGTACAACACGTGTCTGTGTGTAAGTACAACTGCTGCAAAAGACAACATACGGACTCTTAACTGTAATTTAAACTTACTCTGAAGCTTTATGTGAAAATTCCTTCAGTTAAATAGAGGACCACCCTATACTTCAGTGTGTTACACAGTTTCTCAGTCAAGTTAAATCCTCTGGTTTGGATCTTTCTGTCTCTGTGTTTCAACAGGAAAGCCATGCCAGCCTTTGTTGAGCTCCATCTTAAAATTTGAAACTGGAAATGGATCTCTGTTAACCCCAGCTGCAGCTGGTCTTGTTCAGAAATGGATGCTGGCCAAGTGTTTTAAGTTTGATCCTGCAACTCCTTCATGTTCTGGATATCAGTTTAGTTCAGTTCTGTGGATGGCAGAGCAGTGCTAGGGAAGGTGCTGGGTTAAAGGCCTGTGGAAATACCCTGTCATTAAGATGCTAAAAGCACAGGCCTCCAATTATGCATGCAGGGAACATCCTCAGGATTGTTTACTTCATCACACACTTCATTATGCCATAACCCAGGGAACGTTGTTTAACAAAAATTATAAAAAAAGACAGGCAGTTGGTGGCTTGGAGCTGTTCTGAAGACATCAGCTTAATCTCCAGAGTGTGAGTCTTACACAATCATGTCTCACTGCTGAGGATCTGCAAACATGGGAGGGGAAAGAGAAGGGATGCTTTCTTTCTTGGCTTAGATGATTTTTTTTTTAACTACAGGTAACGCTACTTCTGCAAACTGTGAATAGCCTGAAGTGCTAAGAAGCGAGTTTGCAATTTTTAGAGTAGCTGCTGTTTTAATTCGTTTTGGTATTACCGCTGTCTCTTGAATGAGAAGTGTGCAGGATCACAGAAGTGGTGTGTGAGCAATATTAATGTGTAGATATTGAGGAACTATCTAAGCCAGTGTAGTTCTGTGATCACTGGTGATATGCCAGGCACATACAGCAGACAGCTTTGCAGGCAGTGAGGAGGCAGTTTTAAGTTCCTGGCTGTGCTCTCAGCAGAGCTCAGAGCATGAAAGTTGTCTAATAATTAGAGCATGACAGCCAGTCTTAAATTCAGTGCTGAACTCAAGTTCAGGCCTCAGTGTGACTTTTGGGTTCATCACCAGGTTTATTTAGGCCAGTGCTGCATTTGGGTGGCTCAGGCTGAGAGTGGTGCTGAGGGTTGAGGAGTGGCTGCATTTGCCATGACATGGAGCTGGTGACAATTTGTATGGGAAAGCAGAGACAAGCCTCTCTGGAGTGTTGCCAGGCAGGCAGTGTTGAGTTTTGATTCAGGCAAGTAAACAACTCTTGAGGTGCAGCCTCTCATCACGGAGCCTGTCGTTTTTGCAGGTTCATGGTAACTCCGAACAAGGACTGGGGTTGGTTTTGGTGGCCGTAAACACGACTTTTCCTGGTGTCAGGGGTGGCTGGCTCAGTAACACACCATCTGTAGGGCTGTGTCCTGCAGGTGCTGTGACGTGGGGCTCCTCAGGGTGGGCTCTGACCGGGTCTGTGCTCGTTTCTAGACGGAAGGAGTCACGAGGCGACTGGCAGAAAGAAACGACTTCGTGTTGTTCCTGTTTACACTGATGACAAACAAAAAGACATTCCTGCAAACTGCAACGCTCATTGAAGATATCCTGGGAGTTAAAAAGGTTAGTTGCTGGTTTCTTTGATTTATTTGTATGGCTTTTCAGGCCAGTAGAGGAAAGAGCTGTTGCTTTGAAGAGTTGCTGAGGACAGTCCTCTTAAGCTGCCAGTCCCACTTGTAGTTTATTTGAAACCTCACTGTTGGCAGTGATCATTAACTTCAATCACATCTCATACAGAAGCCAAACTGTTCACGTGGAGTCATCCTTGCAATGCTTTTCCATAGCTCAGAGGATGATGGGAGGTGAGCACCCATCATCTGAGTACCTCACTGTCATTAAAGTACAGCCAGTGTTTCAAATAAAGGACATGAACCTCATATACAGTAATTTTTCATCCTTGCCTTCTGATTACCCTTCACACATTATATTTGTCCTCATGACATCTGGAAGGGCTTCCCATCCTTCTCCCTCACCTTGGGCTTTGTCACCTCTCAAGCAAGTTGTAGGCTGGGGAAACAGGACACTTCAGTCTTCTGCACAAATGAGGGTTGTTTTTTTTAAATATTTGCCATCATCATTACAGCTGAGTTCTCTGATGTGATGCAAATAAAATATTAAAGGTGTAACCCTGGGAAAACCCTGCATGAGCAGTGTCTATGTACATTTTGTGGAGAGAGTCAGGTGTCTGTAACTTGATACTTTTTTTACTTAGAGCGAGGTTGAGGTAGGTGTACTCTCTGAAATAGATAAGAAAAAAGCTTGGTTTGTCTGAACAAAAATGGTTTTTTTTCCTGACAACTGTTTTCAGCCTCTTTTTTATTAAAAAGATCTTTTGATGAAAAAACTGAAAAGTAATTTGAAAGGTGATTCTTATCTGTGAGCTTCAAAGAAAAAACAGAAGTGGAAAACAAAATTGAAACTTTTAATACCCGAACATAATTTATGTGTTAAATTGGTTTGTGGGGTTTTTAGTTAAAAAGGGCCCCCAGATTTTTTGCAAATATCTAGTCTTTAAAATCTGTACAGCAGTTGTAAATCCCATCTGCTTTCAGAGTCTTTGCTTGCTTCTCCTTTACTAACATTGGAATAACCCACAGAGCTCCCCAGGGAGGATCTTGTGTCTGTGTTCACTTATTGAACGTCACATGTGACTCAGTTGGTGTTGCCTCCTCCAGGAAATGATCCAGCTGGATGATATTCCCAACCTGGCCAGCCTGGTGTCCAGCTTTGACCAGCAGCAGCTGGCAAACTTCTGCAGGATCCTGGCTGTCACCATTTCTGAGCTCGACACGGGCAGTGATGACAAGCACACTCTTCTTGCCAAAAATGCCCAGCAGAAAAAAAACCTGGGTCCTTCTCGAGCTGAGATTAATCAAGGTAATTGTTACCCTGTGAACAAATCACAGTAATCTCCATAGTAATCTCAATTTTCCCCTTTTCAATGTCATTTATGTTTCTGGAGGATACTGAAAGTGCTGTGTCTTACAGAGCATTTTTCTTTATTTTCGTGATCCCTCAGGCAGTTTCCTGGAAACAGTCTTTCCTGCTAATGAACTTTACTTTGTAGCTTTTGGGTTGATACAGTGTTGCTAATTAGGTGGGTTAATTTCTGTCATTTCAGCACTCTCTGATGAACTGAGTGGCTTAAAATAATTGGATTTGCTTTCACTGCCTCAGTCATGTCCATGGCAACTCTTGGTAATTCCGTGTCCTCCTTAAAAGACTGATTTCTGAACTAAAACTGTGTGCAGCGTGGTTGCTGTTGGAGCAGTTCCTCTCTGATTTTATCTGATGTTGTGTTGAGCAGGATGTCTGCCTTTATCAACAAGGAAATTGTGTTTAATATTAGTTATGTTGCCCACTGTTACCAAAACAGCCTTGGAAATCCGTAGGTCTGATCTCAGCTTTAACTTAGGGCATAGTGTAGGTTTCCTTATTTTGCTGAGTACTCCTCAAGTGCAAAAAGCCTTGCCTAGAAGGATCAGTAGGAGTTGGAAAAGTTAAATTGAAGTGCCCTCAAATATAGAATCTGCTGTTTTCAGTTCTAACTGTGCTGAAAAGCATTTGGGCTTCTGAAGCAGATGTGAGAGCAGGAGGCAGTGAGAGATGAGTAGCATAATACAGCAACTGAGAAACTTTAATGGGATGGGTGTGTTTTCTACTCTGGGATAGCCAGAATTCTCTTGTGAAGAGCAGTGGACCAGTATGGGTAGGTGTGGGTACTGAGTTCAATTTCAGTCAGTTGAAATTGGATCCCCCAGAGCTGAACTTAACCAAGCAAATGTTTAACTAGTCATTTTTTGTGTGCACGATTAGAAACTGATTCTGAGATGATAAAATATATTCTACTTTAAGAATTTTATCAGGGAGCTTATCCTTTAAGAGATTAAATTCTTTCTTATAACGTTAATGACCAAATTCTTTGCCTTTTTCCAGTTGCATCTGCAAGTGTGTAGTGAAGTGAACCCTATGTATCTTTAATAAATAGGTCCTGTAATTAAATTATTCTCTGAAAACTTGAGGGCAAAATGCAGCTCCCCAAGCATTTTGCAAAGCAGTGACTTCTGTCCTTGCACTGTTCCTTCTAAGGGTGCAGTTTCACCATTAAACCCCTCAAACCTGAGGCTGCTGTGGGGTATTCCCCATCTGTTTTGCTCCTTGATGATCTCATTCAGGAAACCATTACTTAAAAAGCTGAGGGCTTTCCCCCCAGCTATTCCAGTGAGCCAGTTCAGTTTGCTGTGAGACAAACACCACACACAGGAGGGGAAATGAAGGAGGAGCATCACACAGAGGAAAGGGGGTGTGGAGCTGCCCATTCCAAGGGCTGGTGCTTTACTTCTGCCAGCTTAATTGTCAGCCAGATCAGTTCCTTGATATTGACTCACTGTGGACTGGAAAACAGCACTGAATTATTCCTGGGATGTGAAACTCTCTTCCAGTCCTTAATAGGAGGCTGCACTGACTTCTTCCATCTTTGGATCTTTCTGATCAGATCTTTTTAACCATACTCTTCTATATCCCTGATGTAGATGTTTTGGTACCTTGTGGTATGGAGGGTTTGATGACTGCTGTGTTGGTCTTAAATAGTAATAAAGTTATTTTTCTTTTTTCCTTTTTTTTTTCTTTTTATTTTTTCAGCTACACTTCTGAATATTCCAGGCTTCATAGAGAGATTGTGCAAACTGGCAACACGGAAAGTGTCTGAAACCACAGGTACTTCCAGCTTCCTCCAGGAACTGGAAGAGTGGTACACCTGGCTGGACAATGCACTGGTTCTGGATGCACTGATGAGAGTGGCAAATGAAGAGGCAGAGCAGAGCAGTACAGGTACCTGGCTTGCATTCCATCCTAACCTTCTCCAGGGTTTGCCACTCATCTCAACTAGAAATATCAGTATTTAGATCTTATTCCCAGTTTGTTCTCATGTAGCACTGATGTTTTTTTTCATGATTAAAAGTTAGCAGAATAGGTAGGAAATGTCCTTCAGCAGTCTGTGCCCTTTGCATGCTTAGACAGCCCTGTAATGCTGTACATCCTCAGCACTAATCTCCCTGCAGAGACAAAATAACCCTTCTGAGGTGAGTGACTTCATCAGCATTTTCCTCTAAAACTTTGGCTGATGGCTTTGGGTCCAAGTGCTTCATACCAAGTTAAGTGGCCCCTTCTTTAAAAAGGCATTCTAACTTCAGCAAAATTGAGTAAGTAATTGGAGAAAAATAATTATTCCAGTTAATACAACCGTAGGAAAATGCTTTGAAGCACATGTGTGGTTTGTTTCTTCACCCTTTGCTATTACAAAAATGCAGGGTATGTCTTGTAAAACTCAAAGTACTTAGTATTCCTGTTTCTGCCCTTAGCAGGGTAATTCTGCAGAGGGTTATGAAAATTATTTAACTGTGGCCTAAGAATACTGTTCCTGAGGTATGAAATGAAAGTATATTAGGAGTAAATGCTTCTGATCTCTCACCCATGCTTTCATTACATTTTCTGCCATGTTCTGGTGCAGTGGTCTGTTAATTCATTTAGGTGAGCCTACTTATTTTAGGTCATTTAGCTTATGATGAACAAACAGTTTTTAAAAGCTTGTCTCTAAATTTCCAGCTGTATTTTTTTTCTCTTCTGCGATTTAAATCGGTCACTTGCTGTACATCGCTATTTTTAGCTGAGAGGAAGATCCAAGCAGAGGGGCTGGTCCTACACCTGCAGTGTTCGGTGTAAAAGTAATAACTGTAACAAATCCTTGCTGTTGAAGCTGCCTCAGGCTCACATTTTTTGCCCATCTTGTCCAGAGTCTTCAGATGAAAGTGGGTTGGCCAACAGCTCGACACGGACGCAGCTTCCACAGTCCATGAAGATCATGCACGAGATCATGTACAAGCTGGAGGTGTTGTACGTTCTCTGTGTGCTGCTCATGGGGAGGCAGAGGAATCAGGTGAGCCCTGGGACGGGGTCACACGGGCAGCTGATGTGCCTTTGAACCCGAGTGCTTGTTAATCGGGTCGTGGACACAGAAACGTGAAGGGCAGGGCTGAAGGCACAAAGCTGGGCAGGTCCCACCGTGGCAGCCGTGCCCAGACACACAGGAGGTGTTCCACTGGGAGACAGGGCTGGTCCAGTCCCCACAGAGCTGCTGCTCTGGTGCAGGATGGATGCAGGAGGATGTCTCCTGCATGGGGATCCTGTCCCTCTGTGTGAGGAAGTGTGTGGGTGTACCTGGATGCTGCAGAAGCTGCAGCCAGGCCCTCTTACCCCTCATGGGGACCTGTTTGGATGGAGCCCCTTTGTACCTTCCCCATCCTTGGGTGCTCTCACTTTTGGAACCCTCTGGAGTGGTTTGAGTGGGTGATTTTTGCAGCAGATTCCCATGTCTTGGCTGAGTGTGAGCAAATTGTTAAACTCTGAGCTGAGAGAATGCACTTGAGTGCTGTCTGCACTGGTCACTGCCTGGAAACCCCACTTATCTGTTCTTTTTGCCTTTCTTCCTTTTGAAACAAACAAAAAAAAGTTATTCCGTGCCTCACACGGGCTTATGGAGAACCAGTCCCTGCAGCCTGGCTGTGGTTTGATTTAAATGGGTCAAAAGCATGTTGAGCAGGGAAAAGAAAAGCAGTCCTTGGTGCAGTCCTGACAGGTTTCCAACTTTGTCAGTCTGCTCAGCTCAGCAGAGCTCGGAACAGCAGGGACATTCACGTGCCCTGGAGATTGGGAGGCCAAACTGGTGTGGGTGGAAGGGACCAGGAGGGCCAAATTGGTGTGAGTTGTTGAAGGGCTGTTGTGTTGAGCAGGAGTGGCTGTGTTGGGGGGCTGTTGCTTGAGCACATTTATCTTGAGGATTTTGGCCTTTGCTGGTGACCTCCCACTGTATCGAAGTCACAAACACTCACCAGTCTCTTAAGTCTCTTGACCTGAATTTAAAATAGAAGTTGTAGTGCAGTTCCAAACATAACTAACCTGCTCACTCTGAACCTACAGAAGTGGTTGTGGACTCCCCATCCCTGGGAGTGTCCAAGGCCAGGTTGGATGGGACTTAGAGCAGCCTGGTCTGGTGGGAGATGTCCCTGCCCATGGCAGGGGGTGGAATGAGATGAGCTTTAAGGTCCCTTCCAACCCAAACCATTCAAGGATTCTAAATGGATACTTGGCATTAAAAATAAATAGATTCTCTATAAGAGGGAACAAACAATTGTTGCAGAAACCACAATCACTACCATAAGCAACTGTTGTCGTTCCTTTTAGAAATGCTGTTTCTGTTGGGCATAAAATGAAATTTAAACGAGGCCCAAGCATAACGGGAACCACCAGAACGTGGATCCGTTAGGAGGACTTTTTTTTTTTCCATTGTATCAAGCCAGATAATTCATCCCTGCCTGATTTCACCACAGGAATGCAGTTTTATAGATACTGCAGAAACAGCTTGCACTCATCCTGCTGCCACTGCTTCAGGGAGCTGGATTCCTTCCCTCCCTGGGTCAGCTCCAGTGTATTCCTGTCAGATATGACAAGGCAGAAAATATGCTGCTGAAACAGCTAGCTTTGAAGCTGAATTTATTTTTTAATTTCCTGGGAAAACAGCTCTTTATCCTTCATCTGCTCTCTCTGCCCCTGTGCAGATGGGAAAACCAAGGATAAAGCTGGCAGGACTGAGGAAGGGGAACTGGTATTGAACTCTTGAAAGATTTGAGTTACTTCATTCCCAAACACTTCTTGTCCAGAGTCAGCTCTTTTTTTTTTCCTTTTTTGTGAAATCCTTTGCCTTTGAAACACATATCTTTCATTCCTTCATCTGCATAAAACTGGTGTGGCAGATGTGACTCCGTTTCCCTTCCTGAGCCAGGCAGATGGAAACTGGAGCTGAGCTGTTCTCCGTGGAAAGCTCCAGTGTGAGGGACAGCGGTGTCTGCAGTAGCACTCTCATTGGCAAGCATTGCAGCTGCTTGGTGGTGTCCCTTTTCCATGAGGGAATTAAAGCACAGGATCTGTGATTCCAGTCCAAGCAGCCAGAGGACTTACTGGTTTTAGGTTGGATTCGTTTCTCGTGGAATTTCTAAAGGGCATCATAAACCTGCTTCAGTCCACCATGGCAAGCAGCACGATGGTCTGGTGTTTGCTTGAAGCATTGTGCAGCTTCCCCAGCTCAACCTGTTTACTCCAAATCATGGGTGTAAACTTGATTGCTGGTTAATTTGCATGAATTGATAACTGTGGTAGCACTGACTTGCTGCCACCTCAGGGGTGAGCTCACCCTTGGGGATAAGTGGTGTTTCTCTCATATCTGTGCCTTTGCTTCCTTCTCATCATGGTCACACCCTAAATTGCTCCCCTTTTATATTTTCCTGGGCTGTCCTGCATGTCTGTGCTGGGGTGAAAAGCCATCAGGTGATTTCCTTGCTCCTGGTGTAAGGAGCCACACTGCACACAGCAGAAACTCACATTTTAGTGGTGAGAAAGCACTAGGCCAATTCATGTGAAGGTGGGCAGCAGTAGGAAAAAATCCAAGGAGTTTGAGGGATAAATACAGAGCAGGGATTGCCTTGGCATCCCCAGGTAGTTGTAATGAGTTTGAGGTCTGGGAGAAAGTGTGATGCAAAGGCAGTGACTGTCATGCAGCTCCTGTAAGGTGAGAACTTTCGAGCTGAGCAAACTGAAAAGTGAACAAGACACAGTTGAAATTAGGGATGAGTCATTTAGAGGGAGCAGACTCAGGAGTTAAAACTAGGAACAGAGAGAGCTTCTCCTGTAGTGAGGGCTGAGGCTCTTGCAGGCAGCTCACACACTTGGCTTCCTCCTGTTGTGCCTGTGCCATGCTGGCTGTGGAGGGACAGGGAGAACACAGGGAGCTCTTTGTTTGGAGAGATTCCTCAGAGCTGGTTTTGTTGGAGGTTTGTGATGAGATCTAGGTGTCCAATAGCATTTTAAAATACTGGAGCACTAGGGGACTCCAAGCTTTGCAATCTCTCAGGGAGGATGGACGAGGTGGGAAGGAGTTGGATGCATCTTCAGGTGTGATACTTGGGATGTCCAGCAGCAGGAACGTGATTTCCATAGAGATGGGGCAGCTGGTGGCTGCAGCCAGGAAGAATGCAAAAAGGCCATCAGCTATGATGCAAATAAGACTGAGAAAATGGAGAGCTGTAAAACAGCATCAGGTTCAACTATTTTAGATTCATTCAGATATTTGAGTAGATAGAACAAATTTGAGTGACCTACTGGAAATGCTGCTCATTATAGAGTCATTTTGTTTATTGATTTTTAAGGAATATGTCCATTAGTGCACTGGGCACTTAATTTTTGCAGCCTGTTGTGCTTCCCAGTCATGTGGTTTTCATTTGTACTCAAGGAATACTGCTTATCCTAGCCCTACAGTTGATGAGAGTCCCACTTTGTATTTCCCTTAATTCCTCATCATCCAAATTGCTTACATCGAAAGTCTCACAGCTTGGACTGAAGGTATTTAGCAGCTGCTCACACCAACATTAGGTGCTTTTTTACATGAGTAACCCTGTTTCAAACACGTCATGATGTGCTGTGTCCCAGCTTGGCAGGCAGACTGATAAATAAACCCAAGTATTTTAGCATTTCCTTCTCTCCTGATCATTCTCTAAAGAGTTCAGCTTCTCCTTAACCTGAAGGAGTGTGGTTGTGTTACTGCTGTACCCAGCTTTGCTCAGAGCTCCTGCCCAGATCAGTTGAACAACACCCATTAGATAGTTTGTGTTGTCTTCAGAGGCCTTCCTGAGCTTCAGCTGTGTGAGTGGAAAGGGAGAGGACAAGGACACTCCGTGGGTGACTGGCAGCAGAACGTTCACAGCTTAGCTGTGTAACACAATTGTTAGGTACAGATGCATTTTCAGTGTGCTGTAAGTCATCTCCCCCTGCCCAAAGCTGCTTCCAGAGGAACATTGGTTAACAAGCACTGGCAGACAGCTCCCAAAATGTCTGTTTTCCCTCCCTGTCCACCAAATGGAAGCTACTGTAACAATACACCATGGTGGGTGTGAGTGTTAACTCACACTTGCTGTTTGGTACAAGAATTCACCTTCTCTTGGCAGAGAATGACAGAATTGTGCCCATCTGTTTCCAGACCACGTTATATCTGTGTTTGAGGCTGCAGCAAATGACTTTGTACCTCTCTTTTGTCCCCAGGTTCATAAAATGATTGCAGAGTTCAGGCTCATTCCTGGCCTCAATAACTTGTTTGACAAACTGATCTGGAGGAAGCATTCAGCATCAGCCCTGGTTCTGCATGGACACAACCAAAATTGTGACTGCAGCCCAGTGAGTAACTCCTAAAATTCTGTGTTGGGTTGTCATATCCTGTCATACAATCCTCAGGAGTTGTGCTGAGGAACTGGGTGCTTGCACAATCCACAACTTGACATGTGGCAGCATTCGGTTTCTTGGCAATTATTGTTTTCACTGAAGTCTTTGGCTTGTGCCAGCCATTTAGCAGGGACAATTTAGCCTCTCCTCTCTCCTAGTTTGGGAACTGGGAAAGGGGGTAAATTGGTGGACCCTGGAAGCCAGAGGTAGAAGATAACCAAAACTTAAGGAAATGATAACTAGGAGGGGCACAGAATACAAATTGGGTCGCAGTCAGATTTAGGGGGGGTTGAGGTTTTTGTTGTATTCTTTAACTTTTTTTTTTCCTTCCAAACCTAGATATTCTGAATTGATCAATACATTGATGAGCTTTTCTGCCTTTGCAGTGAGAAGAAATTAGCAATTTTATAGGCTTGGAGCAGTCTATTTTGGGAAGCCTGCAAAGTGCAGCCTTTCCCCTTTATGCAAGTCACTTGCTCTGCTGACCCAGAGGGCTTTGATTTGGAAAGGTTTTTTATTCAGCTTGGTAACTAATGATATCCAGAAACCCTAAAGCAAATTTTTTTTCTTACTTTTCTTGTCTCTTTTTAGGACATTACTTTAAAGATACAATTCTTGAGGCTTCTTCAGAGCTTCAGTGATCACCACGAGTGAGTATGAGAAGCTGTGGTGGGTTGTGGCTCAGTGGTGTTTGCCTGGTTGCACTTCCAGCTGTCCTGAGCACAGGGCAGGCTCCACGTGAAGGGAATGTTGTCCTGTCCTTAATTCATATTTCAGGTGCTTTTCAGCTCCTGCTATGAGCAGCCTAAGGCTCTGCTCTCCAGTGGGCATGTCTTGATATGCCTGTTGATGCTTGAAACCAGCCCATTTTGCTTCAATGTGCTGGAACATGTCTCTGATGAGTTAACACTTTCTGGCCGAGGAAATAAGGAGGCAGCTTTCATGGTGTTGTTTATCTGCCTTCTCCCTGAGAGCTGGTAGTGAGCCAGTGGGAACAGGGAGAAAGCTTCTGTCTACCTTGCCAAAGGCATCCTTAGGGAATTTGAGGCTGCTGGAGTAGTTTGAGGGGTTTGCTTGGAGGGTTTTTACTTCTGTGCTGCTGGTGCAGATGTAATTCTTGCTCTGTTCTGACTTGTGGAATTGCATCTTTGATTCCATCAGGGTCCTGTTGCTCTGATTCAGTCCTGTGAGATGGTGTCCACTTCTGACAAACCTCTGTGTTTGAGGCATGTTGTACTTCAGGTGCTGGTCAAATCCACAGCCAGGATGATATTTCTGTGCAGGTTTTATCTAATACTGTTGGCTACATTGGAAGTATCAGCCTTTTTGATTGTGGAGTTTTAGCTTTGTGAATGGGAAGCTGACCCACTGTAAATCCTCCAGGCAAGACATTGTTTGCCCAGGAATCGCTCCAGGTTTTCCAATAAAATCTGTTTAGATGACGTTCCTACTTAAGTGGCTGCTACAAAGATCTCAGGCTTGTTCAAACAGAAAACAGCTCCCAGCTGTAACATCAGAGCAGGTGGAATGTGTGGAATCTGGTGAAGGGTTTTAAACAAATAATGGCACGAACTTCCTATGAAATCACAGATTAGCTGAGGACAAGAGGAGAGCAAGTACTTGTACATTAATATTAATTTCAGTAAAATTGTGTCTAAAGCAGACTTGCAGAACTGTTTGTTGGAGGGAGAGGAGGGCTGTGTTCTCCTTGCAGAAACCTGTTAATCCACATCAAAGGAAGCTTTACAGGAGAGCCTCAGTGGGCACTAATCTGGATGATGGTGTTTGGAACAAGGAGACACTCAGTCCCCTTGGGTCTAATAATTTATCTTCCGTGTAGTTGCTGGTTTGATGAGTAGTTTCCTTTTGCCCCCTCATCACTGCATCCTGTACTCCCTGAGGTTCCCTGAAAATAATTCTGTACAGTCTGATTCTGAGCACTTTGAAGTAGGAAGATGCTGGCATTGGGCAGCAAAGGGAGCCCCTGGACTACATTTGTACTCTGTCAGACTTGTTCTGCATTTAATTTGCTTCACAGATGAAATAATTCATTTTCGTTACGCGAAATTCGGTATTTGATAAAGAATTTCCTGCAAATTCCTGGGGTTTATATCCATTACTGTTCTGATCTCTACATTTCATGATGTTTTTAAAGATTTCCAGAGTGAAGTTTGCTGAGAGCAATGAAATACAAGGATGATTGAGTACTTTTTTGCAGCTTCTGCTTTCTAACTGAGACTTATTACTGATAAAGAGCAGTATGCTAAGGCAGAGAAAAACTGTAGGAAGCTGTGAAAAGGTTTGCTATTTAAGTCCTCTGAAATTCAGCAAAATGTTGCTGGGATTTTAAAAAATGAGAGGAAAATAATTACAAGCCATGAGATTTTGAACAAGTCAGCAAAGAGCCATCATCACCTTAAAGCTGGTCAGTGTTAAAACTGGAATGTGGTAAATTTTGGAGGAGGTTCACCAAATAGCAGCTGTCTGGCCTGGGGGAGGGAGCAGGGTGGGAATGCTGTGAAGAGCAGCCAGGTGAAAGAGGATTACCCAGCCCTGCAGCCCTGTGGCTTTGCTTCTCGTGGAATTGCATGTTTGCCTCTGGAATTCATCCTGGTTTTCTCCCCTATTCCCCCACTGTCTTGCCTTAGGAACAAGTATCTCCTCCTAAACAGCCAAGAACTGAATGAGCTGAGTGCAATCTCCCACAAAGCCAACATCCCTGAAGTTGATGCAGTTGTCAACACTGACAGGTGAGAGGGAATAGAGGGCTTTGGGCAGCAGTTTAGGAGTTTTTTAAGCATCTCTGGTGGAGGTTTGATGTCACCTGTTCTGTTTGAGGTCCATCTGTCCACCACACTTTAATTTCAGTGATTCATTTCAGCAGGAAGTGTCCAGGTTTGTGTGGTATTGATGGTTATCAACAAATCTGAAGTGTGCTCATGCTCAGTGTGAGGTGTTTTAAAAACAAAAGCAACCTTAAAGAAAGCCAGAATTGGGGGTTTGAGTTCATGACCCAGATTTTATGATGTTATTCTAGTTCTGAGTGTTTGCCTGGCTTTGTGCAGCAGGCATTGCAGACAGACCTGGAAAGTAAACCCTGATCCCTCTAATCCATTAATTGCTCCTGCTAAATAAATCTTAGTTTTGAGGTTCAGGAGCAGTCTGTGCACACATAATGTCCATTTCCAGGCTGTTTGAACAGATCCAGGTGTCTGCTCAGAGTATTTTAAGAGCAGCTAATAAACAGAATAAGCTAAATTAGATTAACACGTTAAACCACTTACAGAATCTCTGGTGTTACGTTGGAGTATCTGTTGGATTGACTGTTTTGATTTCAACAAGCTCTTTAATACACAATTCTGATGTACAAACCTCACCAGGTGAAACACAGTTTGCAGGATTTAGTTGTCAGAATATTCCCAGGGTTTCAGCAGGGACTTGGGCTGCACAGAGCAGATTTACCTTGCTCCAAAAGGGAATCCTCTAAGAGGATTTTCAGATTATAATTATCATCATAATACTGTGTCTAATTGGGAAGAACTCGAGGGTTTTTACAGCTTTAGCATTTAGCTTCCATGTTGCCTTTCTTGAAATGTGAGGTCAAGGCATTGCTTCTGCACAAGGTGGATTCTCCACTGAAGATGTTTAATACAATTACTGTTGCAGTTGTACAGCCTCTATACTTTTACCACACAGAACAAAATTATCTCATGTAGCATCCAGGTTTCCATACTCTGCTCTGCCTCTAAGTGGAATTTAGAGCTTCCTTGTTGAGCAAGGTGTGTAGTTTTCATTCCTCAGATCAAACGTGGCAGGTTTTTTTCCCTAATCTTTTAATTTCTGCAAGTGTGAATTGGTATTTCTGAACTATTAACAATATGAGAGAAGATGAATAATTTTTCTTTAGGATTTATTTGGAAGTCATGTTGCAGGTATTGCAGACATTTACCTCAGGCAGTGAGGAGAACCCTTCTTCTGGTAGAACTGACACGATATTTGTACCATAAGCTTGATACTGAGATTTTGATCATCAAAAGCTGTGGAGCAGAGACTGGATTCAGTGTTTTGTAAGGTACAGCATTTGCCAGCCCTTCCACTCATGCTGTCATTCCTTCACCTGCTCCAGGAGTCTTGTCTGTGATGGGAAGAGAGGTTTGTTGACCAGACTGCTTCAGGTCATGAAGAAGGAACCAGCTGAGTCTTCCTTCAGGTGGGTTCACTCTGCACTCTGATGTGATGTTTGAGATCTCTGGGATATAGCTTTGGTTTCATACAGCTTTTTTCAGCTGGGAATGCTTGAGAATCCATAATCCAGGAAACTGGATTTAAATTACAGATGTAATAAGGTACTCCCTTGCTCCAAAATTAACACCTCATTTCTTCTGCTTCTCAGATTTTGGCAAGCAAGGGCGGTCGAAAGTTTCCTTCGAGGCACCACCTCCTATGCAGACCAGATGTTCCTGCTCAAGAGAGGACTCCTGGAGGTAAGGAAGTCTATGTCAGGCATCCTCCATAGCAATCAAGAGGGATTTATCTGCAGTGAATTCAAAAAAGTGGGTAAAAATGTTAAACATTGACGGGGAATGCTTTTGGAAAGTATCTGTGAATCGTCCTTGGGGTGGCCAGTTGTATAACCTGCATCAGTGGGAAGTTATTTTAACAAGAGACTTACCTGAATTGTTGTCTTTTGTTCTGTCATCCAAGAACTGAAGCTGCATATAAATGCTTTAAGTAGTGCTTAAACCTGATCTGGGTTGTGCTGCTGGCTTGGGCTGAGCTGTGGCAATAACGTGTTTTCCTCCCCCACCAGCATATTCTGTACTGCATCGTTGACAGCGAGTGCAAATCACGGGATGTGCTTCAGAGTTACTTTGACCTTCTGGGAGAACTGATGAAATTCAATATTGATGCATTCAAGAGGTTCAACAAGTACATCAACACAGATGAGAAGGTAAATATTTGTAAAAGCTGTCCCCCCACCGGGGTCAAATTACAAACTCCTGTAGCCAGAGGTAGCATTAAAACTCAGATTCACTTGGTTTGGGTGTGATTGATGAGCTTGGGCCACAATAAACGTTAAGGGGGAGCTGCCAAAGTCTCTCCACAGGCAGGTGAGTTGCTGCAGACACTCATTTCTCAGCAGTGCTCCTGCTGTCCTGGGTCAGCAAGTGCTGAGCTGTTCACAAAACGCTGCCCTGTTACATGATCAGGCAGGTCTAAGGTCAGGGCTCAAGGATGGCAGAGCATTTCCTGGGAAGCCACCGAGTTTTGGGTTAAGCTGATAGTTCTGGACATTGAGACAGCTCCAAAAAGTCTTTTGCTGGAGCTTGCAGTTCTTATGGACGGATTCAAGTATTAATATTTGATACTGCAAAAAGATGTCATATCTTTGATGTTATTTGAACTTGCAGCCGTTTTAAGAAGTCGTGGCTGATGTAATTACCTGTAAAACTGAGTTGCACGTGTAAATCAAGGATGGGCAGCTGTGTGCAAAGTGGTTTCGTGCTCTTCTGCACTTTGTACCTATAACATCAGCTGTTGGGTAGGTTCTGAATGGCCTCAGACTCTTGCTTTTGTTACTGTAATTTTTCCGTCATTGCTCTTAGGTCTGGCAGACCTTGGAGAATGGAAGTATGAAAATGTATTTAAAAGAAAGTTGGTTTTAATTTGGGGTTTTTTTCTGTAGTAAATGAACTCCCACATTCTAGAGAATGCCTTTACGCTTCGTATGTGTTTCCTGTTTATTGATCTCAAACTGGGTTTAGTTCTCATTCTGTGTGACTCCCTCATTGTATTTTTTCCTCCCTAGGACTGCCTGTATAAAATAAATGTAGGAAAACACGGAGCTGGAGGAATTAGAGGCCAGCAGCCAATGCTGTCCAGTCTCCCAAAACAAGGAGTGTATGAAATCTTGCTCTCATTGGAGTGGCACTTCACCAAAAATTTTAGGGGTGCCAGGACTGGCATTTTTCTGTTCCACAGTGATTTTAAGGCACTTGCTGTAGGAATCCTTTGGTCAGCCCTCAGTGCCAGTGTTGGGCTGCATGAGGCAGATGTATTTTGTTAGAGATAACAAAAGGGTCATGGCCCTGAGTATTAATGTATTTAATTATTTTAATTGGACACTAAAAAGGGTTTCTCTTCAGTTCCAGATATTTTTAAACCAGATCAACAGTTCCTTGGTTGACTCCAACATGCTGGTTCGCTGCATCACACTGTCCCTGGACCGGTTTGAGAATCAGTCTGATGCTAAAGGTGAACAGTGACAAGTGGGGTGGGCTGTGTTTGTTTGGGAATATCTTAAAGTCTGGGCTTTGAAAATTGGGGGTGTAGACAGAGGGAAAGTTTGTTTCTGCAGTCTGAGCACCAGTTCTTGCTGCCCTGGTGCTTGGACCGGTGTGTCTGACCCTCCAGCACTGCTGACTGTGTTTCTCCTCTCGCTGCAGTGGCAGAGGTCCTGTCCGAGTGCCGCCTCTTGTCCTACATGTCCCAGATGTCCATGAGAATGTCCTTCCTTTTCCGTCTCATTAATATTATCCATGTACAGACACTCACACAGGTAAAGAGCTGACAGTAACTTTGGTTACCTTGCTGGTTCTGGAGTGATGAGCAGAGCTGGGAGCAGGGAGGAACCTGGTTCCTCTTGTGGAGATCCACGTCCCTTCCTCCTTGCTGTGTGTAGGAGCACCTCCTGTGCCTGCTTTCCACAAGCATGTTTTGTAAGGACACGTTTACAAACCAGTATCTTGATAGTTTTTTGTTTGCTGTGTCTTTTGTACTCTCAGGAAAATGTCAGCTGTTTGAACACAAGTTTAGTTATCCTAATGCTGGCCCGGAGGAAAGAAAAGCTCCCTTTTTACCTGCGCACCTTGCAACAGATGGAATACACGGAAAAGTACCCTGGATTCATCCTGAACAACTTCCACAGCCTCCTGCGATTCTGGCAGCAGCATTACCTCAACAAGGACAAAGACAGCACCTGCTTAGAAAATGTATGTGACCCTCTGACCACAGCAGGGCTCGACCGTAGCAATGCCTGTCTGCCAGTTACCACGAGAATGGGAAGTGGGAGGTTGTGAAAGGAAGGGAGGGAGGAAGTTCTGCCCCTGCTGTAACTCCTGCAGTGTTTTTAACACCATCTCACACAGTCAGGCTGCCACAAGGCAGGTGATGGCTTTCCCTGTGAACAAAACCTGAGGTCTTGACTCTGGCACACAGACCTTGCCAGTGCTGAGTGGGGTGAGAGGCAGCGCTGGCAGGACGGGCAGGGATGTGAAGGCAGGACAAAATCAAGCTCCCAGACACCTTAACCAGGCTGTTCCCTCTTCCTGGAGTGGCAAACAGTGCAGGAGATTATCTGGTGCAGCTGCTGGAAGACAAGGAGCTGCCCTGTGGAAAGCAGCCTGCAGGCTTCTGCTCCAGAGCTGGCCTGTGTTGGGCACTGGGGTAGAAATGACCTGTGATGAGAAGGCAGCTCCCTTGTGTACGCTCTGCAGGGTGAACTGAGGTTGTACAGGTTTCTTTTCAGTGATTGGGTGGCAGCTTTAACTGATTTTTAATGAGTTCAAGGAAAAACCCTTCAGTTCAGAAAGCTCCTATAGATGAGGTACCTGAGGTGGAGCACCATTAGGGCTCTGGAAGTAGAGAAAATGAGTTCCCAGACAGGAGGAGGGTGATGGAGGAGGAGGATGGGTGGAAATAACTAGTCCAGTGTGTAAAGGCTGTGGGTGACACATCATGTGTGTTGTTCTGCCAGAGTGGCCTTTGGGCTTTAAGGGAATGATGCAGGAGGGATGTGGGCAGGGAGGGGGTGTTGCCTCTGTGTCTTCCCAAAGGTGGGATGTCCTGCCAGTATCTGCAGCACTGCAGGGACCCAGAGTGTGCTCAGACTGGACAGCAGAGGGGAAGTTTGGGGTCGTGTGGGTGAACTGGCCCAGGCAGAGGTGCTGGAAGGCCCTGTATGGAGGCACAGTGTCTGTATCTCTATATGTACTGGCCAGGGGGAGGCTGGTTGTGGAGGGTGGGGTTGGTGCACCCAGCCCTTCTGCTCCAGGCCCCAGGGAGGGAGGGCTGGGTGGTGAATCCGAAGCGTTGGTTACAAGGTCGGGCTGGGGAGCTCGGGATGAGCAGGGAGCAGTTTCCAGTTCTCTCTGCTGAGTGCCTTTGGGACGAGTCTCGTGCTGCTTGTTGGCACTGTGGGCCACTCCAACCATCCTTTCCTCTCTCCCTACAGAGCTCCTGTATTAGTTTTACCTACTGGAAAGAGACTGTATCTATACTGCTCAGTCCGGACCGGACGTCCCCCTGTGCCATAGTCAGCTACATCGACGAGGCGTACATGGACATTGACAGAGACTTTGTGGAGGAGTAATCCTTGGCTCCAGCTTCCGATGGACAGCGCTTGGAGGGTCCCTTGCAGCCCGTGGATTTTCAGGGATACGCTGTGTAGTGTGTGTGAGAGTGTGAGGAGCACTGTCAAACCCCAGCCCCTCCCGGTCCCCAGCTCTGATCTCTGACCCATGAGACTTCGGGCAGCTCTCTGGGCAACACATTCAGGGATGTATCTTCCAGTTGTTCTGGGATAAAAATAACCACCTGCAAAAACCAGCCTCAGTTTATTTTTTTTTCTCTCCCTCTCCCGGTCCAGCAGGGTGGTCAGAGATGGTTTTGCTGACAGTGAGGATACTCTGTATGTGCCAACCGAGTTGTGGCTCTCTCCTGGCATGTCAAAAGCACAGCAATTGCCCTCCAAATGTGAGGTCCAAGGAGCCAGTCTGACCAGGATCCCAACACCAGCCACGTGCAGAGCCCCCATGGGGACCCCCTTCAGGTGTAACCTTTCTGCTGGGGTTTGGAATCAGGGGTTTAGGGTTGGGTAGAGCATGAGTGAGTGTGTGTGTGTGTGTGGGTGTGTGTGCTTTTAATTCCTGAGAGCCCTAGCTCCAGTCACCTCTTCACCATCTCCTTTTGGATCATTTGGTACTAAATCTGTGCATTAGGAGAGAACCTCTGCTCCTGCTGTCTTTCCTGCAGATCCTTCCCACCTGGAGGTGTTTTACAAAGCTGCAGAGAACAGAGACATTCGAGCAGTGGTGGAATTGCAACAGGGGTTGGCTTTTTCACGGAGCACTAGCATTAAAATGTACTAATTTTTTAAACTTGCGGCTTGTCCCTTCTCTTGGGTAACTAATCTGGTTTTAAAATCCTTTTCAGGACCATTGCTCTTGATGTTAACCTGCTATGCCTGGAAGTCTTATGTCAGTCTCTTGCTTTCAGTCCTTAATATCAACACACACATTAATCTTGAAGTGCAATATTTACTGGAGATGTCCGTATTTCCTGCATCTGTTTTAATCAGAATGTGTTAAATGCTGGGAATAAACACTCCTGTTCCTGAAAGTAACTTTGTAGGATATGTTGGGAAAGGGGGGGATTGGGTTTTGGCAGTCCTCGTTGCCAAACCTGCACGTGCCCTGCCTGCTCACCAACACTGTGTTATCCAAGACAGATTCCCAGGAATGAGATACAGCCACTACATTTAAGTCAAAAAAAGTGTCTTGCAGCTCCAGCTAAAAGAAAACAGTTTTGAAACATGCATCTGAATAATTTTTTTTTTTTTTCCATTTTCTAATTTATTTTATGAGATGACTTGACTTCAGCTTTGTCCAGGCTCTGGAGGGGGTGAGGATGTCCCAGAGCAGCAGCATTTTGTGTCTCATCGTTTCCAACAGAATGAATCCCACCCTGAGGTTCCCAGTGCTGGGGGGGGAGGAGCAAACAAGGCTCCAGTCCCAAGGGCAGGACCTGTCTCTGAACATCTCCCTCCTCCTCTTCTCTCACCTCTCGATGTCCTGCTACGGACGTGCAGGGTGGTCAGAGCTGCTGAGCTTGTGCATAAACCTGGAGCCTTGCAGGAGCTCCTGGGGATCCTGGGGGCCCTCTCTTGGGGCTGCTCCAGTGGGATCACCCTGGGGAGCTCCTCCCTACAGAGCTGCAACTCTGTTCTTCACTAGATCCCCCCCACCCTGCCCCTCCCTCCCCTCAGCTGATTTCTTTCTCATCTGTACTTTTTTGTTCTTGGGTATTTGTGTTTTTGGTGTATCTTTGCTTCTTCTTAACTGTAATAGATGTACACTTCAAATAAATGCTTCAAATTAAAAGGCTTTTAAGTTAAGGGATGCCTTTTCCATAGTGTAGTTGATTGGTGCAGCCACTGACTGCTGCTCTAACCCTGCCCAGTCCCACTCCCCTCTCTGTGTTTTAATTTTGGGGCTGAGCTGCCTCTGGCCTTGGCCAGGAGCCCCCAGGAGGCTGAGCTGAGCCCACACCATCCCATCTGCTCCCAGGCCTGGGAGCACAGGCATGTTTGGGTCCTCGCCTGTTTGAGGTGTCTTGGCTTTGCTTTGGGGCTGGGGCAGGAGGGGCAGAGAAAGGCACAGGGGAGAAACCCGTGGCAGCTCCTGCAAGGACGGAGCTGGGCTCCAGGGAGAGGCTCTGCCCCGGTGCAGAGGGTCACAGGTACATCCTAACTGGGGCTACATTCCTGTCCATGCCAGATGCCTCAAGGATCTCATTTTGAGAGGGACCAGACCCCTCTGTCCTTCATCCCTGTGTGTTATTTATGGAGAGCAGGGGCAGGTGGTGCTGGGAGAGCCCACTGGCTCCACAGAGGTGGCAGCAGGGTGGGAGCTGGGACAGGGAGAAGGTGGGACTCCTGTCACTTAACAAATACCTCTGGCAGTCTGCACTGTCCCTATGGATTGCTGAGCTTCGTGCTGCCCTGATTAATGCCAATTTACTAACTGCAAATAAACAAATGGAAACTATTAAAGAAATCTATTTTAAAGAAATGAGTGGAGGTGTCTTTCTTTGCAGTGACTTTGCCAAAGCTGTAACAACCGTCCATGTGCCCTGCAGGGCTGTAGTTGGGATTTTATGTTCTCAGGAGTAGTGGGTGAGGTCTGTTCTGCCCCCCTGCCCTGCCTCACCCCTCAGCTGAGAGATGTGTTTTGGTGGGGAGGGACGAGGAAAGGGCTCTTTTCCCAAAACCCATCCCAAGCCAGGGCTGTAGAGCTGGAAGAGCAAGGCCTGGACCTCTCCTCTGCCCCTACCTGGCTGTGAAAAGATGTCCCTAAAGACCCCAGCTGGCCCCACATCCCCAGCAGCAGAGGCCAAGGTTACCCAGGGACAGACACAACAGAGCAAGTCCTGCAGATCTACATTTATTCACGCAGTGCAAAGCTGGTGTGGCTGTTGCAGCCACTTCCCTCCAACCTACAGCAGCAGCTGGGACAGGGTAGGGTGGGCACCTAGGCTCCTAATGCTGGAAAAAAAACCCCAAAAGGGCTTTGGTGAGAGCTGGGATCTGGAGGAGGGAGCACTGTGCCACCCTTCAGGTCTGGCAGCAGTGGGAGGTGAGGGCAGCAGCGCCAGGGCAGGAGGGGGCCAGGGGCTGTGTGGTCAGTGCCCTGGCCCCAGGGCTGGCAGGAGCCCCTGCCCTCCTCCCCCTGCCCCAGGCCAGGCGTGCTCACCTTGGAGAGGACGACGTCCCTGGTGCGGGCGCGCAGCTTGTTCACCTGTGTCTCGGCGATGTCGGCGCGCTCCTCGGCGTCATCCAGCTCGTGCTGCGCCTTGCGGTACTTCACCAGGTTGGAGTTGGCCTGCTGCTCCTGCAGGGGTGAGGGGAGGGGTGGGTGTGTGGGGCACAGCTCCCCACATCGCCCTCAAGGCCCCTTGCAGCGATGCCAGGCGGTCCCAGGGAGGGGTAGCCCCGTCCCCCACCCCAGCAGAGCAGTGCTGGGCACTTACGGCCTCCTCGAACTGGCGCTTGTAGCTCTTGACCTTGCTCTGCAGTTTGTCAATCAGGTCCTGCATCCGAGTCAGGTTCTTCCGATCTTCCTCAGCCTGCAGTGCCCCAGTTCTGTTAGCAGGACCTCAGCAGCCCCCCCACTCAGGGTCCACCTGCCCCCCACCTTTCTCAGAGAGTCCCAGTGGTGCCAGGGCCCTCCACACACACACACAAAGGCCAACCCAGCCCCCTGTCACAGCATCTGCCCCCTGGTTCCCTCCCTGTGTCCCGTCACCCAGCTCAGGAGCTGCTGGGAAATGGGCAGAAGGACAGAGAAGGATGTGCACGCTGTGGCAGAGACAAACCTGTCCCACCCATGTCAGTCCCTGCACAGAGCCCAGAACAAGCCCAGGCTGGGCTGGGCTCGGTGTGTGGGTAACACAAGAGGCTGAGCAGAGGGAGTTGTGCCATGTGCTGCTGTGCTGGGGCTGTGCCTGGGGCTGCTGTACCTGGTAGCTCATCTCCTTGATCCTCCTCTCGTACTTGCGGATGCCCTTCTGGGCTTCAGCCATCTTCTTCTGCTCCGCGTCCAGCTCTCCCTCCAGCTCCCGCACCTGCAGGAGCCACAGCCCGGCTCAGCACCCTGCTCCTGGGCACCAGCCCAGCCCAGCCGGGGCCAAGACACCTTCCCAGCTCAGAGAAGTCACAGGAGAGGCTAAACCACCCTGAGCACAGGCTGGGAGCTGGGCACAGGCTTGCAGGTCCTTGGGGACTGCAAGGGTTTGGGACAGATGGCTTCTGGGGGCACAAAACCAGGGATCTACCCCTGCCTTCTCACCCTGGCCTCCAGCTTCTGGATCTGCTTCTTGCCCCCCTTGAGAGCAATCTGCTCTGCTTCATCCAGGCGCATCTGCAGGTCCTTGATGGTCTGCTCCATGTTCTTCTTCATCCTCTCCAGGTGTGCGCTCGTGTCCTGCTCCTTCTTCAGCTCCTCTGCCATCATGGCAGCCTGCCAGGCCAAAAGCAAGGGGGCATCACCACAAGGCCAGGCAGCCCTGCCAGACACGGTGGGAAGTTCTGAGACCCTCCCCTCTCCTCCCACCCCAAACCACCCAGCCCAGTGCCCACCACGCTCTTACATCCGTGATGGCCTTCTTCGCCTTCTCCTCAGCATTGCGACACTCCTGCACCGCATCCTCCACCTCTCCGCTCAGCTGGGACACGTCTGCCTCCAGCTTCTTCTTCTGGTTGATCAGGCCTGTGTTCTGCACACAGAGCAGGTTCTGTGTGACCAGGGCTGTCCCTCCACCGTGGCCAGTGGAGAGGCTCCTGGCTCTCCTGCCAGCAGAGACGTGGGACTTGGCAGCGCCTCACCTGGGAGTGGAGCAGGGTGACCCTCTCGGTGGCCTCCAGCAGCTCCTGCTCCGCCAGCTTCCTGCTCCTCTCCGCCTGCTCCAGCACGGCGCGCAGCTCCTCCACCTCTGCCAGCAGCAGGTTGTTGCGGCGCTCCAGGGCCCCCACCTGCTCCTTCAGGTCATCGTTCTGGCGCTGGGTGTCATCCAGCTCGATCTGCAGGTCCTGTGGGGCAGCGCGGGGTCAGTGGGGACAGGAGGGGGCCGGGCAGGGACAGCACCCGACTCGTCCCACCACGACCACCCAACCTTGATCTGGGCCTGGAGCTGGCGGCCCAGCTTCTGGAACTCGGCAGCCTGGCGGTTGGCGTGGTTCAGCTGGATCTCCATCTCGTTCAGGTCTCCCTCCATCTTCTTCCTCAGCCGGACGGCCTCGTTCTTGGCCCGGGCCTCTGCGTCCAGCGAGGCCTGCATGGAGTCCATGGCGCGCTGGTGGTTGCGCCTGCGGGGGAGACGGTGAATCAACCACAGCCCTCTGGGGACAGCCAGCCTGGGGCAGCCCTGCCAGGGCCACGGTGCCAGCTCTACCCCCACAGCCGTGGCCCAGCCTTGTCCCCTCACCCCACACACCTCAGGTTCTCAAACTCCTCGTCCTTCTCTGCCAGCTTCCTGTCCATGTCAGCCTTGATCTGGTTCAGCTCCAGCTGGATGCGCAGAGTCTTGCTCTCCTCGTGCTCCAGGGCTCCCTAGAAACAGCTCAGCCATAGGAAAGTGGTTCCTGAAGGAGGAGGCCACCCCCTCCAGTCTGGCAGCCTGGCCTTACCCCCTAGCCCAGCGTTATGGGGCACAAGGCAGTGGAAGCACCCCAGTGCCTGCAGTGCTTGCAGGACCCCATGAATGACCTCCCAGGGGTTAGAGCCTGGCTCAGGACTCCAGCAGCACCTGACCAGAGCTGCAGGGTGGGCCAGCGGCTCCTGAGGGCAGCAGCAATATGTAAGAAACAAGGATCTACCTCAGCCTCCTCCAGGGCTGCCTGGATATCATTCTTCTCACTCTCCAGGGTTTTCTTCACCTTCTCCAGCTCATGGATGGTTTTGCCACCCAGACTGATCTGGTCAGTCAGATCAGCAATTTCCTCTGGCAGGGACAGAAGGCATTTGGTCAGCAAGGAATTTATGGGACCAGTCTTGCAAAGGTGAGATCCCCATCCCTTTGCCCCAGGCTCAGCTGATGTCCCCCCAGCCCCTTAGAGGGCAGCTGAGG